CACACCCTTTTGCGACAGATCCCGATTCCCATCCTATAACCATCTGATACCCTCACTCTGTACACACGTCCACGCTATCCTTTCGCAATCGCAATTACCCTGCTTCTTATAGCTACTGCTCTCTTCTACTGGCAGAATCTGTTGCTAACTTTTGTCATCGCTAGTGACAAATCGAAATCCGAGTCTGTTCTCCTATCCGCTATTGACCTTGTCGCATTTTGATTCTCCTGGATCGTCCATTACATACACCCGCATTCTTCCGTCCATTCCCTTCGGTGCCTGCCGCGAGTTGAGATCGATATCTGGGTATTTACAATGGAGGCGAAGGCAGCAGAACTACTAGCGGCCTTCAAAAACCCCAACCTGTCCGTTGATTCAAAGATCGCCTACCTCTCTAGCGTCAAGTCCGATATCAAACAGAAAAATGTTCCAGAGGGGGCGATTCGCGCCATTTTCGAAACACTACGCCTCGCGATCGGCTCCCAACATTATTCTGTTCTCGGGGCGGGGTTCTCCACACTCGGTCACCTCCTGAAGCGCCTTGCAATCCAAGACCAGCAGCAATGGATTGTTCACCAGGCCGAGAGCTTATATCCCATTCTTCTAGAGCGTCTCAATGACCCGAAAGAACGTATAAGAGCCCAGGCTGCGTCAATATTTACCGAACTGTGGCCATTTGCGGGTGACGAAGTCGAATATCATGTTCTGGAAGGTGCCCTGGTTGGGAAAAATCATCGGGCGAAAGAAATGAGCATGCTTTGGTTGGCAAATGTAGGTTTATGCACCCTGCAAGGTCTGTCTCAGGTACTAATTCCGATCTACAGATGACGAAGAACCATGGTTTGTTATTCCGTCAATATGTTCCTTCCCTGGTTTCGTGTTTAGAGGACGCCGATAGCGCCGTTCGAGATACGGCCAAGTTGGTCGTGATTGATCTGTTCCGGTGAGTGAAGTTATCCCTCTAATAATTATTCATCGAATGCCCCTAACCGAACTCAGAAACGGCCCCGCAAGAGCGAAGTCTGACCTACAAAAACAAATGGCGACACGCGGTGTGAGGAAATCAATCGCGAATGCTATCCTCTCAGGTATTGGCTTAGGATCCGTTGAACCCGAGACTGCATCCTCTACGCGTCCAATATCTCGGGCTGAACGCTCGATTTCGGTGATGTCGTCACGTTCACATACTATGGAACAGACTGATGATGGTTAGTATTTTGATTATATTTATACCCTTGAAGATTTGCACTGGTTGTACTGACATGCCTGCAGAGATGGAGCCTGTGAAAAGCCGCCCAGCTTCTAGAGCTCATCGTGAGCGACCGGCAGCCTCCGCATCTACAGAGCCACCAATTGTTAACAGACCCCGCACGCCGGCTCCGACACCAGCACCTCAGGAACCGTTGCCAGACGATGATGGTCTAGAACCGTTTGATGTTGCCTCAGCGAGGGATGTCGATGATCTTGTGCGCGATATGTTGCCCTGGTTCGAAGGCAAAGAATCCGAGGACAATTGGTCAAAGCGCGAGAAGAATGTGATTCTTTTCCGCAGACTCACTCGAGGCAACGCGCCGCACGACTTCTCGCAGACCTATATCAGTGCAGTAAAGACACTCCTTGACGGTATCCTAAAGGTTGTCAACTCCTTACGAACCACAATGTCAAGCAACGGCAGTCTTTTGATCCAAGATATTGCCCGAACATGTGGCCCTAGAATTGACCCAATGGTTGAGATTATCATGCAAAACCTGTTGAAGCTCTGCTCGGCGTTGAAAAAGATTGCCGCTCAAAACGGAAATGCCACTGTTGAAGTCGTCATTAAAAATGTTTCATTTAGCGTTCGCCTCCTGCAGCATGTCTGTTCCGCAACCCAGGATAAAAATGTTGGAGTGCGTTTGTTCGCCACAGGGTGGCTAAAAGCTTTGATCATCCGCCAGGCTCATCATAAAAGCTCAGTTGAACATAATGGTGGCCTTGATCTTATCGAGAAGTCGATCACAAAAGGACTGGGAGATGCGAACCCCGGTGTGCGCGAAGCAACACGGGCCACATTCTGGACGTTCTACGGTGTGTGGCCGGAGCGAGCCAATACGATAGCTGACACACTCGACCCCAAGTCGCGGAACTTGCTGGAGAAAGATTCATCGAACCCCAACCCATCTTCAAGAGGTGCACCTGCATTGCCTACAAAGAGCCCCGCTAAGAGTCGCGCCGCTTTAAAAGAAGCTATTGCTGCTCGGAAGAAGGCACAGACTCCTTCTCAACCCGAGTTGGCTCAGCCAACCTTTGCCGAGGCGAAGCCACCTGCTCCTACCTTCAGGTCCACTCGGAGTGTGCCTACTGGGGCCCCTCTCTCATCTCTATCTTCCGCGCCTATGAGGCCTGCCGTGAAGCCTCGGCGGGCAGAGATTAGTCGACCTGCAACCGCAGACCCCTACGCTCGTCGCCCCGAGTCACGAGCCCAGTCTAGTAACCAATCTACCCGACAAGCGACCACTTCCCCCAGGGCTATGAGGTCCAAACCGTCAACACCTACATCAAGGGCCCCTCTGACCGCGCCTCGCACTCGGCCAAATGAATCGGCACAAGCTGCTACAACTAATGGCAGGCCGAAGAGACTCGATTTGTCCAAGTCCAAGTCGCACAGCGATCTCATGGCCGCGAGTCGTGCTCGCAGTGACTCGAATGAAAGTCTGGCTAATCAGCCATCTGCAAGAACACCCCGTAATGGAATTTACCCTAGTGCACCCGAGGACAAACATTCCCCTGCATCTATCCTATTGGAAAGTCCTCCGCTTGATGCACCACAGCCTCTTCTGTACTCAGCACCGCATGGTCCTCACGCCGACTCGGTTCCTGTTGAAGAACCAGAACCAATGACACTGGAGGAACCTGTTATTGCCGCACCTTCACCTTATATCCCGGAACCAGATCTTGCAGTGTCTCCCGTGCCCGTGTCTCCGGCTCGCCAGCATTCAGATCTGGACTTTGGTTCTGGTCCCGTATCTGCTGTCAAACCCCTGCATGAATCAATGGTGATCTACGAAGATCCTACAACGCCCATCGCGGACAAAAATGAGACTCCTGGGTACTCTGCCTCGGTGGGCAATTTTACCCCCTCAAAGTCCTCCCCCAGTCGCGCTGATCAATCCGAACATGGCGGAGCAGAAGCTCAACCTATCTCCGAGAATATCTCAGCGTCGGTGGTCGCTTCCGCTAGGAAACCCACACCTAATTTGGCTCCTACGCAGGAATCTGTTATGAACTTAGCAGTTCGAACTCCCTCTCCAACCCGCCGGGCGCCACTTCAACCAAGCCCGTCACCTACGAGGGGCCGTGTCCAGCCAGTGGCTTCTAATATCATGGATATTGAGGCCGTGCTTCCCCAAGAGCATCATGCGGGAACAAACGAGGCCGGTGGCAACAATGAGAATGCGACTCCACACCTGGCCAAGACGGTAGACTTGCCCGCTGTCCCGCGGTCTCCAGCTAAGCCGAGTGTCCTCGAAGAAGTAACGGCAAACGAGGCTACACCGCGTTCGCCAGAAGCGAGACAGAGGTCATTTGAGTCGATACCACCATCACTCTCCCAGTCGACGTTGTCCCAATCAACAATGTCCGAAGATTCCACACGACGCACTCGAAAATGGGTTGATCGTCACCGCAGCCCTAGCCCGCGTTCGAAGGACCCGGCTAATGCCCAGGAAATGATCCATAAAGGCCTGGCACGTATTGTGTCGAGAACCATGGAGCCCTCGGGATATAGGAAACTACAGGGACTTATCCAATATCACGGCGATGAGATTGTTTCCCAAAGCCAGGACTACAATACGTTGCTGGAGGCTCTATTTGTGGAACTGGAAGCGACGCCTTCCAACCGCAAGGATCATGACGTGAAAACTCAGGTTTTGGCCACTATCCGTTCCATGCTCCTACGAACTCGCGAACATTTCCACCCCTATGACACTCGTGCGATGGCAGCTATCATCCGGGCCCGCTGCCACTACGAGTCCACTTCCCACTTTGTCACTTGCCTAGAAGAAGTTGTAGACAAACTGGTGTTTTTAACTTTGCCCCAGACGGCAATTGTCGGTGTTCTGCAGGGACTAGATCTTGGAGCAGATGCAGAGAATGATGAGACATACCGGTCCACCATCATGGGCCTCAGTACTATCCAACAGTCGCTATCGCGTCCCGGTATCGATATCGACGACGAGCTTCTGGCTCGCATCGGAGCTGTGGTGATGCAACAGCTCGGGCACCCGCGCCCTGGGGTCAGAAAGAATGCCACTGAGCTCTGCACATTCTTGAACATTACATTCGGGCCCGAGCGAGTGCAAAAAGTCACTCAACCTCCTCGTGAAGGATCCCTTAATCTTTTGACATACTTCATGGCCCGGCGAACCCAGTAATTGTTCTTTTTTTTCCCATCAGCTCAGGATCCTCTTAAGAGGACCAGCGATTAGTCTGAATATCATCATACCCATATCAGGCACATCTCACATTCTTCACTCGTATCCATATCGTACTAGGAAACCCCTCAGGGGACTGTCCTAACGGGAGCGAAGCTTAGCCCTGGGCAGTTAGAAATTGGATTCTAAGAGGGGATCTATGAGTGAATGGGATCATGAAGTAATGAGATATATAGGGAAGAGAAGAGAGGAACTAGCCACCTGAAACTAGACAAGAGAAAAGGAAAAATGAGGCATGTGACCTCATCTGCACACCGACATTGGCGTGCGTTGTGCAAGTCGGCTTTGGTACACGCTGCTTCATCAGCTGTAGGTGGTATAGTTCCAGTGGTTTGGCTTTTCCTTTTTTCTTCCTCTATCCTTTTCACGCCATCATAGAATACCCCTAGCTAGCTTTTGACTTCTTCCCCGACCTCGTCTTTGGGCATATCTGGTTTGGGATGCGGCTTGGTCTGGCGAGTGGATTGTTGAAATAACGCTATGTAACTATAAAAGGTAAGACAATATTTCTGTGGTCCGGAACAGTGGCTAATAGGGATATTCTTCGAATCTAAAATTCCAAAGAGTCTTCGCCGAGTCATCGAATCCATATCCTTTGGAACTAGTAGCTCCAATATGCTGCAGTAAGGACGGGATCACTGCCCAGCGCGTCCAGCCCTCACGATCCGCTATCTTCTCCACCATCATGTCTACCAGCCAATCGGTCGTCAGGTCCGTCTGCCCAAGGAACTCAGGTATGATGGAACGAGGAAAGACGAGGCCCTGCGAGCAGCATCCATATTTGTTCATTTCATGGACGCCACGGGTTATGGGCCACATTGTCTGTCTTCCCGCCATAAAATGGAGCGCAATGGCAGCGGGAATGAAAATGCAGGATGTGATCAAAATAGCGTTGGTTGGAATAGTCTTCAGTTTGGTCCTGAATACTGTTTTGGAGGCAACCATTGTCCCCGTAAGCAGAGCCCAGACCATGAATGACCAGGCCAGGTATGCCGGCCACTCTTCTGAATTCCATCCAAGAAGCTCATCGACATAAAAGAGTCGCATATATATCCATTTCTTATTCACGTTCCGTTCTTCCACAACTTCGAGAGCCTGTAGAGCGGACGGGAGCCAGCCCTTCACCGCCAGAGTATCATCTTCAATCATCGCCACGTAATCCGCGCCAGTGTCGTAACAGTCCTTCAACAAATGGGTATAGTCGTAAATCGTTTTGTTTCGATAACATCCACCTTTCTCCCAGTCTTTTATACGCTCAAAATCGGGATCATCTTCTTTGTACGTCAGCAAGCGGTCTGGCAACGTGCCAAGCCACTTCTCTGAGTAAATCGGATGTTTTGACGGATCTGTGTTACCGATGAGAATGTTCAGATAAATGCTCTTCCTCTCTGTTTCGCTAAGACCGGCCAGGAGAGAGGCCACTGTTAAGCCCGTATATTGCTCTCCCCTACGAGCGACAGTTGCTATTCCAAGACATATCGTAGGGGTCCAGTTTTGCGGTCTTATTAGTTTATTGATGCTACCAGTATCTCGTAAAAACTCCTCTGCCTCCGCGATTCTGATGGACGAATATCGCCGCTCGTAGGCACGAGAGGGGTCGAAAAAATAAGAGGTGGGATCTCGATGGCTGGCGTAATGATAGTAGTAGAGGCAGAGGACGTAAAGGAAGGACCAAGTGCAAAATATGAGGCTGGTAGTCGAAAGATAAAATCCCCCGGGGCACAAACGACGCGACGAATCAGCCATTCTCGCTTGCAGTCCGTTGGGTGAAAATTATATGAGGGAGGTGTTGGTGACGAGGAATAGGGGTAACTGGGTGTACCAGGCACAACACCCCAGTATCGAGGACTAGCAATTATTGGACATATGTAAAGTGATAGATGGGTGATTAGAGATTAGGTTGAGGGGTAGATGTCTGAACATCTCGAACTGGGTGGTGATCACCTGCGACTGGGGGCCTATGTCCTTCGGAGTATCGTAAATCCTTCGCTCCTCGTATACTCGTATCCGCTTCCTACGGCGGCTAGAAATTGATTGTGATTGGTTAAGAAGGACTACAGCGCTCTGGTAGCTTGGTTGGTTAGGCAAACACGCTGTCGGCTATTGCAGATCCCCAAAGCCCGGGTAATGACAGTTCTATTACTCCGTACTCCGTATAGCATGGACAATTACGGCAGGTTTTAGATGATATAATTTCTTTACGGTCATTTTTACCACCTTGGTCTCACCTATTCTCAGCCCTGGAGACCTTTTATTCTTATCATAGGCCCAGCCCCCTGCCTGAAAATTCAGTCACAGCGTTCCTAGCTTGGACAGTGCCGGCCTTGAATAGCGGTCCAATCGCACTTTCCCCAGGGTCAGTTATATGCCTAATGTATACCTTCCACTTTCTGGCCGGATGTTTCCTCCTTCTGTATTTATACTTTGAGTCGGTTAAAGTAGAAAGAGCATCGAAAACCCAAGGATCTCTATGATTCCAGAACTAGTCCCTGTCAGATCGATCAAGAACCAGCATTCTCTGTTTCTATAGCCTACCAGCATATATAAACAAAGCTAGTAGGAGATACAAAGCTTCTTTGCGTGCCCATTTTCACAACTTGTGCGTTATAAACAAAGAGGCAGGCAACAGTTTCGTCTACAAAGGTATTGTGATCTTCTAATCGGAATTCAATTTCTGATAGACACAAAGACAACAAAGAGGTCTTTGAGATCAAATACAGTATCGAGATGCAAAGAGACAGAATGCATAGTCCCTCGGGGCTATATAAATCGCCCTCTTCGCCTCGAAGATGGTATCTCATCAACATCATTTTCGAGTACCTAGCTCGACAATTATTCTCTAACTAAACGGTGACATACCAGCTTGCATCATGAAGTTTTGGAAATGCATCAAAGCTCCAAAGCAGCCGCCTCAACGGTTCCCACTCGAGGTAGCGGAAGCCTTCGAACCCGAGAAAGAGATCATCCGTCGATTGAATCGTACCGGCTCTCCCCCAGGAAATCTCCTTTGTTTATTCCCGGACCCTACACCTGGAACAAGTCTTAACCAGTTCCGTTTTCAGCTGCACCGAGAAAACGGGGTTCTGCCCGGCCTCGTCGGTTACCTCGAGAAGTATAGCAGCGCTTCGCACTTGGTCTGGAGCATGTGTGCTCTTCTTGCAGATAGCGGTATCGATCCAGACTGGACAGATGCATTTGAGATGTGGCGGCCACAGTGGAGACAGTTCGCTAACAGTTTTGAAATGCAGGGAAATACCTCGCGTGCTTTAGACATTCCCCCCTCACCAGTCCGTGTAATGTGCATTCGAAAACCTCACAGCCTTGATATGTATAAGCTTTATGCTGTTAACCCTAAGGCGAAGAAGCGTGATCAAGAGGGTCTGGAGGATCTCTGGAGGTGGATGCTTGATGCACCACCCGAGGTTATTGTTCAAGGAGCTTTTTCCATTAAGCTTGAGGTTGAGCCTTGGTTCCCTGGCGAGGATATATCGTTTGCTGTCTCTAGTAGCTGGTATGAGTAAGTCATTTACTGCTTCGCTGCACCACCCATTTCTCTTCTCGCGATCCAAGAGCTCAGTGGCATTAAATAGACCAAAAATAAATTTCAATAACGTCCTGATCTGAAATCTGAGCTGTATATATAGGCTTGAGGTAAAGTACAATATTGTACGGAGTACGGAGTAGAGGTTCGTCGGATTACCGGATTTAACGGAATATGTATTCCGGGTAAAATGAGGGGTGACGATCAGGTGACGAACCCCATACTATATAATCGATTCCGCTTTCCAGCTTGAAAGAGTCACAACACAATATACATCCTTTCTTGCAATCTTCCACATTAGATATAAACATCATGTCTGACCTACCCAAGGTTCGTTGGGGTATCATTGGTAAGTTTGCGTTTATTCCCAATGGCTCTCAGTGTTGTGGTAAGCTAACGTCTTCCATAAGCTACCGGCCTGATCTCATCATGGTTTGTGGAGGATCTGGTTTTCGACTGGCCAGAAAAGAAAGTTGAGCATGTTGTTCAAGCAATTGGCAGTTCAAATCTTGAAAAAGGCCAGGCATTTGCGAAAAAACACTGCCCGAACCAAAGCCCAAGCGTCTATAGCTCTTATGAAGAAGTCTATCGCGATGCAGACGTTGATATTGTTTATATAGGAACCCCACATGGGGTTCATTATCGGGATTGCATGGCGGCGATCTCCGCAGGGAAGAATATCCTATGCGAAAAAGCTTTCACACTGAATGCCAAACAATCGCAGGAGGTATTCAATGCCGCTCGTGAGAAGAATGTATATGTGGCAGAAGCAATGTGGCTCCGACACCGACCGCTTTTCACCGAACTCCGGCGCTTGCTCCATGAAGAGAAGATCATTGGTGACGTGTTCCGGGTGTTCGCGGATTTCGCGTTGGGTATTGATGTTGCCACACGTCCGTCCACATCCCGATATCGCGACCTGAAATTGGGAGCGGGGTCATTGCTAGATATTGGGGTGTATTCGCTTACTTGGACGAGAATGGCACTGACTGGAAATGGGTCTGATCAGTCAGAGAAGCCGCGGATTGTGGCCGCGCAGAGCCATGAAGCAGGAATTGAAGAGACGACCAGTGCCATCTTGCAGTATCCCTCGACTGGAAGGCAGGGTATCGTTACTTCAACCACCAAAGCTCCCGGAGGTCCCGGTCAAGTCTTTGCGGTTATACACGGGACCAATGGGTACGTCGAGGTAGAGGGTAGGATGCCATCTGCGCCGGAATCCTTTACTGTGTGGAAGAGGCCTCAAGGGAATCCCGACCATGCGCTTTTCCCGAGGGAACAGTGTCAAGGGAAGAAATACGACTTTCCGCCCCTGGGGCGTGGCTTTGTCTATGAGGCTGAACATACGGCACTTGATATCCTCGAAGGCCGGAAAGAGAGCAGGACTATGCCGTGGGCGGAGACAATTTACATGATGGAGATCATGGACGAGATACGACGACAGGGTAACACAGTCTATCCTGGAGAGTGATGGGGCTCTAGATATGTATCTTTGTTCTAAGGGTATCAAGAAATATCACCGGAAAATACACCTAAAAGCAATCTGTAATTGTAGATCTATATGGATGGCAGCAGCAGTAATATGAAAGGCACACTGGTAAACATTTACGTATGAAACTGCCCCGCTCTAAGGTTAACCTTGAGTGGATCCCGGCAGGCCCACTCGGGTGGGGATGCCCACCTGGGCAGGTGGATCCTATGCAACCCGGAAGTCTGGTGGTAATCTACTCCGTACCATTGATGATATTCCATATGCCACTGCGCTGTACGTAAAATGATAGGGCGTTTGGGGCGATTGAGCGTTCTTCCCCGAAAATATTCAAATGGCGGTGAGCGAAGCGAGGCCCTTCCAACAATCTGCTCCCATTGTTAGAAGGCTCTCATTCCTCTTTCTTATATTATCTGCTAGTTCCGTTGACCCTCCTAACCTCCTTCACCAAAATGACGAAATATGTTGTTTACAGCCTTGAGAGCGCAATCAATGCTTTCTTTAGCTCGAGTACCACTACAACGAGACAGCAATGCGATGACTTCTCCATCGCTCGTGCTGGTGGTGTCTCTACTCCTTTACAGATGCAAGGAGTGTGCAGTTATACAGTGACAGCGGGACCCGACAAGTCCAAGATCTTCCAGTTTCGATGCGAGGACTCTACGATTGATATTGGTAATATCAGTCTTGCCAAGGCAGTCCATCCCGAGTTCATTGCTAGCTGCAAGTATCTCGGGACCTTGGGCAATTTACAGCCACTCCATATCTACGAGATGGAGAACCTGTCTGGAATCACTCATATCATGGCGCGCATTCCACCAGACGACATGTCCCGACAAAGTAATACCATCAAAGACCTTGCTAGGTATGTCTAGGAAATTTGTGGCCTCGTTGACAAAAGCTGACATTATCGAATAGGTTCTTTGCACAGTCGTGGAACAACGATCGACGACCATGCTCAGATGACACCGCCATCTTACTTAAGGAGTTTCAGTCTAATTTTGACCTTCTTGCTCAAGACCTGCCGTCCCGCTTTGCACCGAACTTAGATATGGTTCGTAAGGAGCTCCCGTTGCTCTTCTCAGGAACGCTCCCTTTTGTTCTCAGCCACCAGGATCTTAACATGATGAAACTCCTTATCGATCCAGAAACTGGAAATATAACAGGGATTGTCGATTGGGCGGAATCTAGAATTCTACCGTTCGGTTTCGCGCTTTACGGGCTTGATAATATTTTGGGCCTGATGGGGTCAACGGGGTGGCACTACTATGATAATCACCGCAAATTCGAGAAGCTCTTCTGGAAAACCTTTCGAGAAGAAGCTAATGATTTCTCCGATGCTGATTTGCGTTTGACCCGCGTTGCGAGAATGGCCGGGCTTTTCTCCCATTATGGATTTGTTTTTGACATTAAAGGTGCGGTGGAAAGTGTGCGGATGGACCAGGCTGATGGTTCCCTCGCATATCTTGATGCTTTCTGTACTACTAATGAGTAGACTGGTGTTTCATCGGTCGGCTTGTTTTGAAGGCAGGCAGCGTAGGTGACAAGGTGTCATTTTCTGTTGTATTGACATTATACTGCGAACATACACATTGATAGTTGGTCAATTAAGTAAATATACCACACCAGAAAGAAATGATTTTAACACTATAGGGATGAGAAGGGCCAGATACCTGATTTCCAGGCGCAGCCCCTGGCGTACTCTGATTCCCCGCTTCGGACCCGCGTCGTGTCACTTGGCAAGGGCCGGGTATGTACACCTGCCCGTTTGCATGAGGATACACGTCTTCCGGGCGCTGATTGGCCTATCCTAATTAGAAAGGAAGCAACGACTCGTTTGATATGTTTGCCTCGCTACACAAATGCAATTTTCTCATTCGAAACATTACGGACCATGAAAGAACATACGAGTTGAAATATAATTTGCAACCATGAACCGAGAGCTCCAATCACTGTGTAGGAAACAGACTTTCCATGCTGTTAGATTGGCTGAACCGTTCCCAGCCAGTTGATGTATTCGTAGCCCGAATCCAGTAGCCCCCAGACCCATTCTTCGTCACGACAGCCACAGGCGCTATTGTGATGTTCCATGTGTTTACAATCATAGGGCTGACAAATATGACTGACGTTTTTTGCTCATGGAGACTAGCACCGGAGAAATCAAGGCCTGTATAATCGAATGTTGTCCAGTGGGATACCACAGCAAAGCCTAGATTTACAGTGCCACGTAGCGCTAAGGTGAGAGTCTTGGATGTATGATCTTCGGAGAATCGAAGGCTCTGCTGGACAGATATCGGAGATGTATATTGCAGTGTTGTGAGGCGTATATCTCGTGCAATCTCGGCAACCGACTCTTCTTTCAGCTGCTGAGTAGAGAATTTACACCGAAGAGCGCCAACACTACAACGAATGTAGTATGTCCCAGCCTTCGGGGGCTCAAGAAAGCGGCGAAAGTTGATAATCCCAAAGTAGTCCACTGGATTAGGCAACATAGATGGAGGTTGAGGGGAATAGACGGATTTAAGATACCATGCAGCGATGACATCATTTCGTGTGATTTGAATCTCGGATGAACACTCTTTCAGTTCAGTCTGTGATTTCATCCGCAAGTCGTCGACCCATTCGCCTGGAATGTAGATAAACTTGGTTGTGAACTCCTCAAGTAGCCCAAATTTCATAGCAAGGATAGTCAGCAGCACGCACCACACAGTCATTGCAAGCTTAAATATTCCACTGTCATAAATTTGCGCATGTATCTGGTAGTGAAAATTGGATTCTGTTTCGGTGCACTCAGTTTTGACTTTCATCAGATCAGACATTCGGACATTCCCGGCGTCAGGTGGAAGAGCAAACAAAGGAATTGGCTTATTAGACAATAGGTCAGAAAATGCTTTAACCACTTCCCAACAATCATTGCCGTCACATATATGGTGTGTTATTCCAAAACAGAGCAAAGTAGCATCTCGTAGGAGAGTAACACGAAGCCGGAAATTGTTTTTGCGGCTAGGGGAGACATTGAATATGAATTTATCATCAACTGAAGATATTTCCGGGCTTTTCATGATGTTTGGCTCATTGCTATACTGGTCGTGGTGGATTGGAAGATAGGTAGCCAGTGATTCATCAATAGCCCTGCTGGCGTAATCGACAGTAGAACCACAGGTAAAGGACCATGGTTTTGTCTAGAAAATGATATGAGCAGGCTGTAGTAGCGGTAAAATAGACTTATTCACATCTTTGATTAGATCACCGCCAAGTATTGGCCATAGTCCAACTAACTCGGTGAGTTTCCCCCTCAGAATAGCCGAATCGAGAACCGCATCGACAATCAAGCCCGTATAGATGGTACTATGGTTTCCTAAAGAGCTGACACTGTTGCAAGTGTATTTCGTAGAGCCCAATTTTGGACCCTCCATTTTTAGATTGAGAAAGGCTGAGATAGGTGAGATTCTTTCGTATATGAACTATTGAGAGAGTTCTCTCGGGGATTTGATAAAAAATGGGAGTACTTTTGTACTCTTGTACCCTTTTCTTCACTGTTTATTACGAGTAACCTCGGAGTAAATAGAAATTATCTTCTAGATGTGAACTGTAGGACATATGTAGTACTAACATTTATTTGCTTTTTTCCTTTATTTCCCCTTTTCGTCTTTGCTGCTATTCTGACTTTTAAGTTTCAACTACTCGATCATTAAACATCGTAATCCTTTCAAGCGCATACAGCGAATGTAATAATAGGAGGTGTCATGTATTGTATTACCTAATGCAGGCTGCGTGTACAAATCTCGCAAATTATTTGAGCGGGGGCAAGTCTCGTGGAGGTTGAATCGACTCCTCAGCCTTGACTCAATTGGCGATGACAATCTCTTTGCTACTGTCTGGAAGTCTGCATATGGTCCTGAACAGGACCTAGGGCAATATTTCTCTCACTACAACCGGCTTCATAATGAATATCAACAGGTGGATCGTCCACTTTGGAAGATTGAAAGAGATGAAAAGGATTACTTTCGAAACCAGGACTTCAGAAACACAATAGCTAAGAAGCTGACGCTTATATCAGAATGGAAGACCCAGTATACGCACAATGATCTACTCAGACTTCGGAAAGATATGTTTGTCGCTTCTCTCAAAATGTGGAAGTGGATCCAACAATTCATACAGGACTGGGAAGACATGCCTTGATCTGCCCAAAAATCAGAATTCATTTTTCCTTCATTTTTTTCATGATATTCACTCTATAAAGTTGAAGGATATAGATCAGACAGTCATGGCCCATTACATCAGCCATCGCATTCAAATTCCAATTCCGGCTAGTGGTAGGATGTATATAAACCGAAAATAAACATCGTGGGAGAGCTGAGGCATTCCATGGTTGCACGGAATTGTGGAGACCCCGGGTCCACTAATATACTTCCCGCCGGGCAGTGACCAATCACATTGTAACTAAATGACCCACACTGTCCGACCTCAAAAATGTAGACGACTTCGAAGGAAAAGAAATATGTGCTTCTCTTTGATTGAGTCATCCTTAGTGCAGAGGCCATGCTAACTAATACTCTCTATATTTTATGTCGCCATATGCAAGAGTGAAGTAGAGCTCAATATAGCCCCTGCCAACCTGCCTCAAGGGTCAGCCCGGGGGTCATCTTCCGATCTCCCCCAGAAACTCGGGGAGGATGCGGGGTGACTGACGCTAGGCACTCCAACTGCCCCTCGCTCGGTACTACTCCGTGGTACACCACTTGATTGACCGTGACAGGTTTATCCGGCAGCATGGAAATAGAGGGAAGACAGAGGGTATAAGAACTGCTGGCAACGGTCGGCCCTTGAAGCAGATAGCATACCCCTGGGTCGTTGCCTGAGCTATACTGCTATAACGCCCGTTCAGATTTTGTGCAAATCTACCATAATCAAGATGGCAACAACATTAACCGGTGGAAACCCACACATCATTCAACTACCCAAAACGCCCAAAACTCCCTCCGACGTATCCCCCGACCCGCAAATCATCGCCCAGCAATGGCTTTTGGCTCTCGAAGCTCAAATCTCTCGTCTCGAAAATTTGAACATCAAGGAGCTATTCCACGCTGAGTCCTGGTGGCGCGACATGCTGGCGCTAGACTGGGACATACGCACCGTACGCTCAGCCGCCGAGATTCAAAACTTCCTGAGCAAGCAACAACCCAGGGCAAAATTGTCCGAATTTCGGCTCCAGGGTATGGGCAAGTTTCAGCCACGTCTGGAGCAGGTCGTCGACGGGTTGAGCTGGGTATCTTCCATGTTCTTCTTCGAGACTGCCGTTGGTACTGGAACGGGTATGTTGCGTCTAACCCAGGCAGAGGATGGAGTTTGGAAGGCCTATGCTATGTATACGTCATTGCAGGAGCTCGGCTCGGCTCAGGAGCCGCTCGGGAAGCGTCGTGCTGAGGGGGACGACAGCGTCGATGCCTGGTGGTACGGCTGGGGGCACATGGATCGAGCGCAGGAATCGACAGAAGGAGTTTTTCAATGAGGAGCCCGCTACTTTAATTGTCGGGGCTGGTAAGGAATTTTTTATGTTAAGACGGTTGTGTATTATTGAAATACTAACAGTCAATAGGCCAAGCTGGATTGAATATAGGTGCGCGTTTGCAGAGCCTCGGCGTGTCGTGCTTAATTGTCGACAAGAACGAGCACGTTGGAGATAATTGGCGTAACCGGTACCGGGTAAGCGACATTTAAAGGACTCGATCTATGCTATGGAGAGAAATACTGATTTATCGCGATGCAGACACTTGTTACGCACGATCCAGCCGAATTCACACACATGGCCTATCTGCCCTTCCCGCAGAACTGGCCACAGTTTACACCGAAAGACAAGCTGGGTGACTGGTTTGAAGCATACGCCAGCATTATGGAGTTGAATATCTGGATGCAAACCTCAATCGTCTCAGCAGAGTACGACGAAGCTGTAGGCCAGTGGACGGTTGTCCTCGCTCGCAGCGATGGGTCCCAACGCACCCTCCGACCTCGTCACCTTGTATGGTGTACAGGACATTCAGGCGAGGCAAAGGTTCCCTCCTTCCCGGGACAAAACTCTTTCCAGGGTAATGTGTACCACGCTAGCCAGCACCGCGATGCTTCGGAAAGTGATGTACGTGGCAAGAAGGTTATTGTCGTCGGGACTGGTAACAGCGGTCATGATATCGCGCAGAACTTTTATGAGAACGGCGCAGATGTCACTATGCTACAGCGCAGCGGGATATATGTTATAAATGCCGACAAGGGTGTCTTCATGATGCACAGTGGAATGCATGAGGATGGCGGGTACGTTCTCAGAGTCTTTCCTATCTCCCACCCCATATTCACATAATATTGATACCAAACGTGTAGGCCACCGACCGAAGAATGTGACATCGTCTGTGAGAGTCTCCCCTGGCCTGTTCAATTTGCTTTGAGTGTACATATGACGAAGCAAATTGCCGACGCCGAAAAGGAGACCCTAGATGGACTCCGTCGGGCTGGCTTTGAACTTGATTTCGGGATAGATGGCGCTGGCATTTCACGTGCATACTTTACCCGCGGTGGAGGTTATTATATAGACGTCGGGTGCAGTCAGCTTATCATCGATGGTAAAATCAAGGTCAATCACAATCCGGGCGGTATCACTGGCTTTGGAAATCACGAGCTGCTTTTGGCGAACGGTGATTCCCTGCCAGCAGATGTTGTTGTCCTTGCCACCGGATACGATAATATGCGCACGACAGTGAGGAAAGTCTTGGGTGACAAGGTCGCGGATCGGTGTTCCGATGTTTGGGATCTGGATTCAGAGGGAGAGCTTCGAGCTGTAAGCTGCCATTTACTCCGACGATCCCTTTAAAATAAATGCTAATCACACTGTTCAGATGTGGCGCCCCAGTGGTCATCCGGGATTCTGGTACTTCGGCGGAAACCTCGCCTTATGTCGGATCTACTCTAAGTTTCTGGCACTCCAAATCAAGGCCGTCGAGTCTGGAATATCAAACGGTGTACGACAGTAGATGGGGAGAGGGCCTTTGTGATTGTCCAAATTGCATTTCATGTGTAATCAAAGAAATATTGCAACTTTGGTACTGCAATTTGACACAGTAATACTATCTATTCTGATAGATGAATAAACTCCAACGATGCGTCATACCCCAAATGGCGTGTCGCACCACAGTAGCCTCTCGGCTTCTAGCTCCTCCTCATATGTATCTCCAGTGAATGCATCACTAATGACAGCTTGTATTTCTAGGGGTGGCTGTGCGCCATAAAAAAGCTTTGTAAACTCCCAATACTCAGGATAGAAGCCGGCACATTCCCAGTCCACAATTGCAGACAGGTGCCCACGGTCAATAAGAATATTGCTGGGACTCAGGTCCGCATGGGTGAACACAGACCGGTATGGACGCGCGTGGACGGCCGCAATCTTTTCCCTTGTCGCATTGAGCACGTCTTTATGGACGAGGAAGGAATTGAATTCAGAAATCTGGTGAAACGGACCACATATGCCGGAGGGAAAACGGTAATCAAACAATGGGCCACCACGAGTGTCTCCAAAGCGATACGGGGTCTGGTTTGGGATAGAACGCAGTTGCGATAAGGCACTCTTCAGGTCTTTTGACAGTTGCTCGCGCTCCGAGTATGAGAGTCGATGGAACACAACATCCAGCATTTGTCCAGGCATGCCCGTCATGATAAGAAGGTGGCGCGCGCTCTGGTAATCATCTACCCAGAGGGGTGCGGGTATCGAGGTATACCGCTCCACAAGCTTTAGTGCCTCTACTTCATTAGCAGAGCGAGTGCACTCTTTTGCGTACAGTCCGAACGGCAACTGGTGCAAGCGGGGGCTGAAACACCGCGGGTAGAGACGGCTACCTAATTTCAAGAGCACGCTGTAACACTGGACACGTATCCAGTGGGGCACTAGATGCCAGAGTGAGCGTAATATCTTTTGAGTAATTATGTTCAAGTGGACTATCCCAAGTGATCAAATTAGCATTAGTATCATAAGTAAAAGGCTTAGTACCATACATGAAGGGTGCGAGGGCCAGCCCTCGGCGATTCGTTCTTCGACATAGAATAAATGCAAGGAAGCTGCGATGCGGTGATGTGTTCGTAACAAGAATGGATCTGGAAGAGGCTTATTGGCGTCTTGGCTCTCCATGATGAACATTTGCGCCGCCAAGTCCCAGCGGCTGCCATCGCTAAGAAAAAGCCAACCACAAGGCTCGGGGAACAGTCTACACACAAGGTACTGGCAGCAGATCAGTTGGAAGTGCTATGAAACAGGTAAGATTCTAACAAGTACTAACATAGACTTCGCTGGCGGTTTTGATTCTGGCCTCGGTCTCATCATTCCACTGGTCAGGGGTATTAGTTGGTGGAAATATTCGGATGTGACCATTTCGAAAAGCCGAATGAACGCTAGGAGAGAGTAAAAATAGATTTTTCAGCTGATATTCCACCACGTTAGTCTGCAAAATGGTCTGAAGCTCGGATGTTTTAGCAGGGGTCAAAAATGCCTCCAGAAGAGGATAAAGAGAACCCTGTAGTAGTTTGGCAATTTAGTTGACTTTCTGTTTCTCAGTCTTGGCTCAAATTTTCCCAATAAGCACCTACCTGCGGATCCATGTCACTGTCATCGAAAAGGTTCGGTGGGATCACCCAGACATGATCGAACCGAACGGATACGTTGGGGTCCGATGGTCTCTGGTCTAGCATTAGACAGTGTGAATTGTCTCGAGCTTCAACGAGTTTTTGTGCTTGAGATGAGACAGAGTTTCGTCTGGTGACTGATCTTATGCTTAGCGGAGACATGGGGGCCATTGGAGACGCTGGGGACGCTGGGTTTCGACTAACACTTCGTAACCAGTCGCTTCCAGTCAATTTTTAACTCATGCAGTGCTTGCTCCGGGGAACACGCAGGGTGATCATGAATCCTTTCCCAGATATAGCAAGCAGCATATTCTGGATCAACGGCCTCATCCAAAAAAGCTCTCCAAATGTCGTGCTCGGTGGGTGTGAGCTGGGCGGATTCAATGAGCCGGATAGTTGGGTGATATCTTGCTGGTGGAGTCATTCTCAATTATTGAAGGATGTATCTGAATCACAATATACATCGATGTATTTATTGTAGTTCACTTCTCCCTGCTGTTGATCCGACAACGGGTAACGGGGATGGATGGAGGAGGTTGGGGAAATGTGGACCTCCGAAATTGTTGTCGGAGTATGCAGGTCAGCATACCGGAGGATACCGGAGGATCTATTAATCCTAACAATGTGTATTGTTTATTTTAGTTTATGTAATCAGGCTCCATAAATTGCCAGCTGAGCCAGTTCAGAAATACAGACTGATTGACACCCATTCATTGGACCATATATTTTACGGATACGGTTAAAGCCGACAGTTATGAGCCCGGTTCGCACCTAACGAGACTACTAGCGACCAATTGCTATAGAAAGTGTCTCGCGAAGCCCTATCAAGCTATCTATTCCTCCCTTGACGAAGCTACACAGTTAGCTATCACTTGCTACCACCAATGGAAGCAGCATCAATCCTCTCCGCCATGAAGGGCGAAAAACTGAAAGATGCACCCCAATGGCGTATCTGGTATGCTAAAGTGCAACTTTATGCTACCCAAAAGAACGTCTGGGATCTATGCAACCCAGATACCCCGGCAGATGCTAGGCCTACTATCCTCACTGAACCAGTAGAACCAGCCTACCCCCGGACAACGACGACGAGAAGCTTCGACGAGTTTGGCGAGACTTGATGGACTTGTATAAGATGAAGTACGCCAGATGGGAGAAATAGGCTAAAGGATTAAGTGATGTAAACGAATATATCCTTACCTATCTTGATCCTATATACCATCTCTCTATCCTGCCGTATACGACTCCGTACGAGAGACTGATCTACCTGAAAGCTCGCTTCGCTAAGTTAACAGCGTACGAAGAAGAAATCCGAATGAACTAGAAGTTGTTCGCTATGCAGAAGCCAACTGGAGATATCGAACAATAGCTCCAAAAGTGGAACTTACTAAGGGAGTAAGCTGTCAGCCTAGGTATCAGTGATAGCGATACCAACAGAGACTTCCTATACACAGTTAAGGAAGTACTACTAATCTAGTAGTAAAGAAAATACCAAGAAGTGGTCATAGATAAGAAGAAATACGATACTCAAGATCTTCTTAAATCTTTCCACGCTATAAACCGGGAGATTGGGGTTAAAACCGTTACCTCTACTAATGCTCCGAAAAGTGCCTTCTCGACTTAGCAAAGGAATCCAGAAGCTAAGCCAGATAAAGAAAAACAAGAGAAGGAAAAGCAGGAGAAGCAGTCGAAACTCCCGTTCAAGCAACGAAGGTATCCATACGGCCATAACCACCCAAAACATTGGGTAACAACCTACTAGATCATAAATAAAGCGGCTCAACCAGAGGGTTTTGTACCAAGTAAAGATAAACTAGAGAAGGCTAAGAAGGTACTAGCTAAAGATACTACCTAGAAGCAATGGGTTAAGAAAACAGTAGCAGAAGCTTAGATAAAACCTCAGTAAGCTCCTTAGCAAGTTCCTCCACAAGTAGAAGCAAAGCCTTAATAAGCGGCAAATACTACCGTCTAGACTAGTTTTACTACTTTCATATACCATAGTCCATAAGCCGTGCAGATTAGCAACCAGGTACTAGCTACTAAGAAAAGCGAAGCTTTCCTCTAAGATAGATAGATCTTAGATACCGGATCAAGCTCTTATATCTATAATAATAGGGATTGGTTCATTAATTTCATACCAGAAGTTAACCAGGTAACTACCGGAGACAGTTTAACAAAAATCCTAGGAACTAGGACTATCCAGCTTATAGGACAGCACCTAGAAACCAGAAAAATCGAGATCAAACTAAGTAATACACTATACTCGCCGACCTTCTATACAAACCTAGTATCGTATACAGCCCTATAAAGGAAAGGAGGTTTCTAGTACCAATACACTAATTGTATACAGGATCCTAACGATCTCCCTATCGTTAATATATGCCTATAGGATCATTTCAATCTGTGGATTTTCGATAAGCCGGACGAGAAGGCACCCTTATAAGCATATACCACAAGAACCTCGGTAAAGCTATAAGAAACAAAAAGCTTAGCGGATATCTAGTACTGCCGACTCGCTTATATTAATAAGTGTGCTGTGGCGAAGCTTACTACTATGGTAGATAGTATCATCATCGAAAAAGAAAGATCCGAACCAGAGGATAAGTCTCTATACAAAACATACCACATTAGCAGAGCACTAAGGCAGATCTCCAGACGCCCAGTTAGCCGCACATTTAGACAATTCAGAAGGGTATATTTTAATCTAATACAGTTGCTACCGGTATATAATAAGCACCATTAGATCTCCCACTTTTACATCGAGGGTCCAAGATTCTATTAGATCATAATACACGAGATAAAACCAGAATACCAATTAGCTATCAATCAATTCGTTAAGCTAGCAAGGAACCAATAGAAGCTACTAATCAAAGCTTTCCACTATAACAACGAGCTATTAGCTAGAAAAACATCGGAATACAGCTTAATAAGCGATGGTATCTTAATCTACCATACTCCACCTGGCCATACTAAGATAAATGGTTATACAGAAAGGTCTAGTAGGATGATTATTACCTATATACAAATGCTCTCGATTAAAGGAAAGCTTCCTAAAGATCTATAGCCAGAATTTATAAGCGCAGCTATCTGGTTACTAAACCGCATACCGTTATATATAACCAATAAGAACCGGTAGATAGTACTATAGGAAGAGGTATAAAAGGAATTCAGTATAAGTTTACCAAGGATCAACCTAGCCAATATCAGGTTATATAGAAGCTTAGCATACTACTGCATTAAGAAGTAGGTAAAATCCAATAAGATAGCTCCTCGAGTAGAGATTAGCTTCCTAGTAGGCTATCTCACCTCTAATATTTATAAAATCTAGTTCCTGTATACTGGTAAAGTCAGACATATCAGGGACGTAGTTATTAATAAGACCTATAAGTATACGCTAACATATAAGAGGTATTAACAGATCCCACTACTAGTAGTAGAGGAACCGTAAGAGCTTACTAACGAAGAAATCGCGTAAGTACTTAATCATAAGATCACTAGCCAGTAGGTAGCTACAATAGATACCACCGAGACACAGTATGACTTCGATAATAGCTTCCAGTAAGCTACTAAACCTATCGAACAACTATAGGAAGAAACGTAGACACATAAAGGAGAAAGGCAGTAAAAGACTACCCCAAATCAGGGGGTAAGCCACGCAATAAGCCTACCAATACCTAATCATCTATTCAAAGCCCCGCCAGGTACGTTTCCAGACAAACTAGACCTACTACCACTACCAGTTACACTACCAGAAGAAGCTGAACCAGATACTAGCTCTAGTCAGGGGGTAGATACCATATATAAAATATAGTAAGTCGACCAGACCCAGCTCCTAGAAACCAGTGAACCACAAGTATAATCCAAGGATAAGCTACATAATAAACTAGAAAGACAGCTTCAGGCTAAGCTACTAGCACCAAGCAGGCAGATTATAGGAGACATTAACAAAGGCAATATAATAACTAGAAAGCGTACGCGCACAAGGAAGAACTTCACTTATACTACCGCAATAGTAAACGAAGAGCCACCAGCCCTCTTACATACATTCGCAGCCGGTCTATACACAGAGAAGCCAGACGCTCAACGCCACAGAGATAATCTCCCCCCACCACCAAAGTACTGGAAAGACATCATATCACACCCCTTCCAAGAAGGCTTCCTCACAGCAATAAGAAAGGAGATCAATTCCCTTACTAAGAAAGGAACGTTTAAAGTTATCGATAAACCAAAGGATAGGGGAAAGCAAGTACTACCTCTATTATAGGTCTTTACGTACAAATTCGACCAAGATAGCTATCTTATAAAGTTTAAAGCCCGCATTTATATACAAGGTGATCTCGAAACGATCTCTTAAGAAGAAAAGAGAGCTACGACACTAGCAGCAAGAACAGTAAGGATAATCTTCGCACTAGTTACTACCTTCGATCTAGATCTACGCTAGCGAGATGCCATAATAGCCTTCCTAAATAGTAAACTAGATAGAAGGAAAGAAACGTATATATATATACCAGAGGGATTTCAGACCCTCAGTAAATGTTAGAAGTTATTACAAGTATTATACAGTTTATAGATCTCGCCACAACTTTAGCAATAAGAAGTAGTAAGCATCTTACGTAAGTTAGGGCTTAAGCAAGTCCCTAAAGATCCATATATTTTTATCAGAAAAGGACTAATCGTCTTCTTCTACGTAGATAATATCCTAATCGCCTATCATATATCGGCAAAGGACAGGGTATACCAATTAGAAAAGGATCTCAAAACCCATTAGGAGCTTATAGATCATAGAGAAGCCAGTTAGTTTCTCAACATCCGAATTATACGAGATAGACAGCAGAAGAAGCTATAGCTATACCAAGATAGCTATATGGCAAGCATTACTACTCACTACAATTTAATCAACCGCCTAGCTGTCTATACTCCACTACAGGTCGAAGAACTAAAGCCATACCAAGGTATTACTACACCTAGAGAAATTTATCTCTACTAACAGAAGGTAGGATCAGCTGGCTATACAACCACCATCACCAGACTAGATACAGCAAAGGCCACGGCCCGGCTAGCCCAATTCCTTACAAACCCCGGCCCACAGCACCATAAAGCGGTCGACCGAGTCATTTCTTATCTCTACACTACTCGCAACCTAGCAATTGAATACAGCGCTAACGCAGTAACCACCGAGACGGATTCTATACAATTCGCAAGTAATGCCTCTTATAGGGATCACCCGGATCGGAAAAGCTCAGCAGGCTACATTTACTAAGCGTACGGAGGGCCAGTCGACTAGAAAGCTACCAAGCAGCCAACAGTAACAACGTCGACTACTAAGGCTGAGCTTCTAGGCCTATCCGAGGTCGGGAAGCAGCTCCAATGGTGGCAACGACTACTAGATACCATCGGCTTTATACCATCTCATACTCTTACAATCAGCTACAACAACAAGCGCACAGTCAACCTAATACGAAGCGAGGACATGGCGTATGAGACAAAGCTCCGACATATGGACATCCATCGCCATTGGCTTCGACAAGAGGTTAGGGAAGGACGAATTTACGTGAAGTAGGTTGCCACGGCGAACATGGTCGCTGATGGACTAACCAAGGTACTCCCTCGCCAGAAGCATGACAACTTCATCAGGATACTAAGGATGGTAGACATAGGCCATCTGGTATAGGCCAGCAAGTCCATACTGGGCTTGCTGAGGGGGTGTGTCGGAGTATGCAGGTCAGCATACCGGAGGATACCGGAGGATCTATTAATCCTAACAATGTGTATTGTTTATTTTAGTTTATGTAATCAGGCTCCATAAATTGCCAGCTGAGCCAGTTCAGAAATACAGACTGATTGACACCCATTCATTGGACCATATATTTTACGGATACGGTTAAAGCCGACAATTGTAGAAGGCCTGAGGCACTAACTACATCGGCGGCAGTTCCTCGATCAGCTCTACGCCGTTGGCACATACGTAGCCTTTCATTGAATGTTTTTTTATGGAACTTACATTATAGTTGGTTAGATTTCCATTGTTGTCTAAAATTAGCAGCGCCATTACATGACTATAGTGACCTCTACCAGTCAGCGCCTTTCTCTGCCAAAAAAAAGAAATGGCTGAGCGCGTACTCAAACTGTCTCTACTCATGTCCAGGCTTGGTCCAATGGCAATTTTTTCGTATTTATAAAATGTTAGAGGTGCATTTGTTATCCAGTTATTTAGCGCTGTTGGACCTCAACCTAAACATGAAACAAACCGAAAATTGCGTAATACCAAATGATTCTCCCCATTAAGCGCTGTGTGCAGAACTGGGGTCGCCGCAATTCATAGACATCATGCTGATTGAGTGCACATATAATGCAAGGCTATGCCCGCTCTCAATCCCCCTATCATATATTCTTTACCATTGAAAGATACAGCCTTTTGCTACAAGTCTTCGATATGTCAACACAAATTGATCATCATACGGGCTTAGGGGCGTCACCGTTTGAATTTGAAGTGAACGGGCTTTACATTCTTCTGTCTGACCGTGGAAACGACGTTTACACATACCACTGGGGCCTTTATCTACACCAGGCTACAAGTTCAGGCTTTGTCTATCATCTGGTCAACACGGCCAACACAGCCAACCCAACCATCTGGCGTTTCGAGAGCAAACCTAGCGACGACGTTATGAATTCTAAGAGGCTACTTGTGGCCTTGAAGATAGGAGTTTTAGACTCTTCTCTCCACCAGCATCTCCTTAGCCGTCTCTATCGAATTCCAATCGCCGACTCAGTCCGATTCCGCGAAAAGATCACCTGTCGTGTGTGGCTCAAAGAGGCTCTCTATGTGCTGGATGACGAAGGCTATATCAAGTTGACTCGTAGTGTCAGCGCCATCGAAGGCGAGGCGAATGCCATCGCGATGCTGAACAAGATGTCGGGCAGGAGGATGGTTGTTTCAAGTAAGGGAAGCCAAGCTTGAGATCTACGCGCCGTCGAAGAGCATCAGGCTAAAGCCCGAGTATCCTCTACATATGTAAGTTTATTGATAAGCACTCCAGTCGTCATTGAAAATTTGCTTACATTTCGAAAGGATTGTGATGCAGATGGGATGTTGACTACATCATCTCCAGGGCTGAGTCGAGAGCTGACAAAGCAGTATATCGCAGGAACAGTTTCTTCTCTAGGAATTCTGAAGACCGTTAGATAGATATAGCTGTCGCTAAAGCCAAGGATGTATTACAGCGCCATGAATTGTTTATTCCTTCGCATTAACTTCTATGGCGAACAATATAGGCTTGATATCGAGATGAGACCCTAAGTTAGTGAGATCGCCAGAGAATGATCCCGCGGCGGTGCGACATGGGGGCTAGGAGGTACTCTCAGCAGTGGAAATGTAGGAAACAAGAGATTCAGTACGATGACCTAAGGGAGTAGGACTCACGATAGGTACAGCATTATAGACCACTAAGAATAGCAGGCGGTTTGGAAAACTGTAACTTTCAGGGACAGGGAAGAGAGACTACTCCGTACTCTCTTCTCAACAATCTTCTCTTCGCATCATGGCAAGTGATCCAGGTGTCCTCCCTTTCTGGGGTGGATCTGCCAGGGATGTGTCGTTCTCTTCTCGGGCCGTTGCGACCTTCTTTCTGTCTTTGAAATGACGTGCAGATTAATTAACTCCAGTTTTGGAAAAGTTTGATTAATTGCTTTTTTCCACCCGCCACACGAGGCGTTGTTGTTTACCTTCCTAAAAGAGAAGAGCTAACCGGACACGTGACCGGCTTTTTCGTTCACCGGCAAACATATCCCCATCAGGAATTTGACAGGCATTCGGACCAAACCCAAGCCACAGCTAAGATCGATACACCTCGGCGGGTTTTCGATTCTATTGCTATGAAGGCGTGGTTGGGTAGCGTTTTATTGTTAAAATTGCATGAAGGAACGGCAATCATGAGCGAAAGAGGGTCGGAAATTGTCTATCGAGCGGAAAATGTCCCAATTCGCTTCTTTAAAGCATGTCGATGGTGCAGGAGACAAAAGATGCGATGTGATGCGCGCAGCCAAGTCCCTTGCTTCCGCTGTCGCTCTACCGGCCGGGATTGCATTCTGGATCCGATCGATGATGGCCGGCGACGAAATGATCGCCGGCGGAAAACAACAACCCCCGCAAGGTGAGAATTAAATTATCGGTCTTAGAAATGAAAACAGCGAGCTAATATCCTACCAAAGAAGCACTGCTTCGCCGCTAGACCCTAGGACGGGATACCACACTCCGGTAACAAGAGATCAGGGGTTCTCACCTGCCACCGTGCAAGACGGTGGTTTTACCACTCCGATTGATTCTTTACCCGATTCTACTGGATTAGGCAGCCTCCAGCGGTCTTATACATCTGATACGAATGGGCCGGAATCTCAGCAGCTCAGCCCCAATGAAATGATCGCGCCTGCGTCAGCGGTACACTCTATGTCCGTGAATTTGCTAGACACTAATGATGTGAGCCCTAATCCAACCATTTACCAATTGGCATTGATCTAACATAGCAAGATTTTTATGGAAAACTCCGCTAAGGGTGACCCCAGGGGGGATGTCGTCGCTAGAGGAATTGTCAGTGAGGAGCTTGCTCGTGTCATGTATGAGAGGTATGGTACTGACAGTCAAATGAAACTGCAAACAATTATAACCAAATCTAACTCCTCGGCTCAAGGTTCACGGGTGGATCGAAGAACTTTCTTCCTCTTTTTGATCCGATCAGAGACACATTCGACTCTGTCCGTTCAAGATCCTTGTTTTGCTTTACGGTTATTATCTATCTGGCTAGTCGCGCTGTGACAGATTTGCGCGGAGACACGCATATGCAGCGTGTTCTACAAGATGAGGCACAACGTTTGGCCGAAGACAGCTTCTTCGAGCGACCCACTAAACTAGAAACAGTCCAGGGAATGATTCTCCTAGCTGCCTACTCTGAAAAGACATGGTTCTCGATTGCTCTTATTCTTCGCACCGCCTTAGATTCTGGATTGGAGAAATCTTTGGACACTTTGCTGTCCCAAGAAAATGTACCCCGAAGTTCGCTCTCAGCTTCTATGGCTGATCGAGAACTGGTATGGAAGACAAGAACCTGGTTGATCACTTTCATATTGGAGTTGGACGTCGCATCTGGTACGGGACGCAAATCACGCATTGCCGAGGTCGATGTGGTGAAGCTGCGCAGATTCCTTGACTATCCACTCTCGCTGCCCTTTGATATGCGTACTGTCTGTATTATTGAGCTTCATCAACTTCGAGGTAAAGCGAATAAACCTGCATGTGCGATTTATGTGTCAACTACTAACATATGGCAGGCAATTCTCGTGTGGTTATTGATAACACTTCAACTGTTAGCGATATTGTGTCTACAGAACTTCCGGCCATTATGACAAGATTGCAAAACTGGTGGACGACGTGGGACGAGATCCATGAAAGTAGGTTGGCCCTTTCTCGCTTTGATACAACTACAATCCGGATCAACTCTGACTCGAACAAATTTGAAGACAATGGTTTTCATATAGGGGCGTTTCAACGCAGCAGTCTCAAGCTTATGCTTCTCTATGCCAGGATCTTTGTTTTCTGTGCTTCACTGGCACGGATTCAGAAATTACAACCGACGTGCACGGATTCAAACTCCGAGATCCTTGACCAGAATCAGACAACAGCTTATTCGTCGGATCGATCTTCCACGTAGCTACGCCGTCCTGGAAAAGATGCGGACAAATCACATCGGCCGATTAATACGGTATAGGCTAGTCGAGTAAGCGATGGCAAGCTATTCTATTGCACCGGGTTTCTTCGGAGCTGAGGCCTGCGGGAGTCAATCACAGATGTCCAATAGAACAGAACGAAGAGGACAGGGGGATGAAACAGATACCCGAAAAGAATATTGGCGTTTGGACTTGACAGCAGAGTTCTATAACGTTGGAAAGGGAAGAAAGACAATATCACAATCAGCAAAAGAGATTATTGGAGGAGATGAGCGTCAAGTTGGTCACGTCGACTTTTCAGCCACACTCTGATACACTCTCTTTCGCGCCCTTTCTTTTCCCGTTGGATTTGTCTGGTAGATCCGGAGATGTGATTCGGAAGGACTGCCGAATTGTGCTAGCTGCATGCCGTCATCTGTCAACAGAAAGGTCCGATGTATCGAAGCGGAGGGTTTAGGCACACATTGATTTCAATAATTGTGCAGACTACATAGTTCTATTGGGCGCCTGCTTAGGCCATCACATACGTCGCGGCAATCTTCATAGAGAAAGTGGCGATGTAAGCTAGTGCCGTATTCCGAAGCCAACTGCATCCTGGTATACTTGGGGAGGGGGAGGGACTTACTAGAGAATAAAAAGAAATAAAGGTTGAAGTGAACAGAAAATGTATTCGCAAAAGAAAACTCGTACTGTACAAAAAAAAATCCACTGGCCTTTTTCCTAGGTTTTCGCTGCAATACATGAATTATGGTTGTCGTGATACAAGAACACAAATGAACAAAAAGAAAAGGAACCAAAGGGGAAAAAAGACGACGCTTAGAAAAAGAAAAAGGAGTTTGCACCTGATCAGCTGCGCATGTTTACGCAAAGTTGTCAGCCCGGTCAACCCAGATGTCTTCGAGCTCGGCGAAGTTCTGGAAGTGCAGGGGACGGTGTTGGTCATCGTAGAACTTAAGAGGGGTATCGATCTTGACGTAGATAGGTCTCTTCTCCACGCTACCAAAAGAGCTGCCCATAAAGCTATAGTTCCAGACGTTATCCTCGGGCACAAGGAAATAGCCGCGGATCTTGTCACTGAGGAGCAGCTGACACTTCTCACCCATGTTTGTGGAGAAGCCTTGTGGCTGATCCGAGGTTGTGTCCTTGTTCTCTGCGCCCCACTTGTAGCCCGCCGGAGTGAGACCCCAGGCGGCAAGTGAAACGGATCCAGGAGTAAAAGAGACGGTCATGGTCACGGTCCTCTTATCCCACGAAGGATGGGCGTTCATGAGACGTGCGTGATGTGTGACATCTGCCGCAGACATGTACGGCGGCTCATTGCCAGAAACCGTATGGATAATACCGAGCGGCTCTAGATTTTGGAGATAGTCGTGCTGCGGCAACTGGTGTGGCAGCTGGACGTCTCGGGTGTTACCCACTTGTGGAATCATGACAATGGTGCGGACCTCCTTGACCTGGTCATTGTCTGGGGGGAGCTACCGTAGATGTAACCCGTGACCTGCACTCGGAGATCAGCGATGGTGATGAATCGCTTGAGGACGTTCTTGGGCATGATGTAGGTGTAGCCATCGTCCCGAATGTCATCAGAGGAGACATAGATGTTGTTGGACCTCGTCCGGAGATTGGAGGTCGCAATTGCACGAGTACGCCACTCTGTCTTAGATGCAAATGATTGCTGTTCGTACTGAGACGTAGTGGTGACGATGATGTCCTCACCACGAGCGTTCTGGGTCTTGGTAGTCACAGCAGTGAGCTGCTTCTGCTCTTCTTGCTGCTTCTCGATCTCCGCTGCCTGCTGTCGCTGCAGAGAAGGCGCACTAATCTCCATACCCAGTATAATATCACGAACTTCGCTACTGGTCAAGCTCTGCACGTTCACATTGTTCTTCTTGCCATAGTCATTCAAGATCAGATCACGCAATTGCACTTCGACCTTGATCCAGTCCTCGTCAGACAGGGATGGCCAGATGTGATGTTCTTGAGTGATAACGGTCTTATCGGGCCGAAGAATGATCTTGGCTTTGTCGATATTGACGTGAAGAGCCCGAAGAATGAGAATGAGTCGAGAAAAGGCAGTGTACGGGGAGATAGACTTGAGCCACTCATCATACAAGTTGAAGAGTACCATCTGAGGTTCAGTGGCACGGAGAATCATATCGGCTAGTTTCTCAACCTTCATGGCGGCCTGGAAGGGCAGCTGGAGCTCAGAGGCACGAATAGAGATGTTGGGGAAATCGAGCAGATGGACCTCGAGAGGGTCAAGAAGACCCTTACGGGTGACAATGAGCTGCTTCGGTTGCTCTTCAACGGGAAGAGACCGAATGAGAGCTGCAACTTCTTCGGCTGTCTTCCACTTGGCCAATTGACCCAGACGCTTTTGGCCTGCCCAGACACTGGTGTGGATAATCTTCAGGAACAATTGTCCAGTTCGAGGGTTGAAAATAAAGATTGCACCGTTAATGGGCTTTGTCGTCAAGTTACCTTCAAATGTCTTATGGATCGTGACGCGATAGACGTTAGTGTCGTCGATAAAGAGCTGAATCTGCGGACTGAAGAGCTCGGAGTAGTTCTGAGAATTGAGGAACTCCTGACTGCTCTCCGAGGCATACAGCTGGAGACCCTTGCGGATACGCTCACGCAAGACATACAAAGCTGGGTTAGCTTTCATAATTTTAGCCATAGCTTGCTGAACCAGAGTCTTGAGGCCTGGGAAGTACTGCCCGTAAGCCGAGAAGAGGTTGTATGCAAGATCAACGCCAATCATTAATCCAGTGGCGGAAGGATAGATACTCATGCTGTCCGTGGTGTAATCGAGGTACTTAGCACGGACGTAACGTTCAATGTCGTGAGAATCGTAGTCACCATATCTGAGCTGCACGTCGATCCAGAACTTGTTTGTCGTGGTCGGCTCGTAGACGTCCTTGGTATCGAACACAAGCGAAGGTCGGGTGACATTCCACTTGTTGGTCGCGAAGAGCAAGATATCCGCACAAGAGCTGTTCATCTTGTAAGATTTACGTGGGTGAATAGTCTCTTTTTGAACGGCCTCGATGCCAAGCTGTTCCAATTCCTGATCCAGGACTTGACACAAATCCATAACCACCGATTCGTGAATCTTCTGCCACAGATGGGCACGGAAAATCTGAATCAACGAAATTTTCAGGGTGGGAATTTTGCCGTGTAAGAAGATACCAGTCAAATCAAGTTGCACCTGGAAACCAACGTAGACGTTGGCGCGGTTGATAGTCGGCGACCACCAGAGAGTGAATCGACGGTTGGGAATCTGGTTCAAACCGGACCGCTGAGCGTTGGTGAGCTTCTTGAATTTCATACTTTCTTCGAAACCACTGTTGTGCAGGACAAGGTAGTCATGGCGCAGGTAAAGCTGATCTTTGTCGACTCGGAAACCAGCCCACTCTGTCTTCTCAGATTCGAGGCTAATGTGCTCGATCTTGAAACTGTGAATTTGAGGAGATGAAGATTCGGCGCTCTGCTCAACCCTAGGAGATGTAAAGGCACTGTACAGATTTCTTTCCTCAGTAGGAAGGGCAGCGAACTCGGCAGCAGTGATCTCCACGGTTTGCTTTTTGGGACCATTGGAGGCTCCCTCCCGATGGAGCACTAGAATATGATTCGGCGTCACCACGAGATCTTCTTTCTCACCGCCGATTTTGACGCGGTACAGGCGGTCGATGCCATTCACTATGTTGAATGCACGGCGAGGCTCTCCGTCGGGGCCCAGAAGTTGGTCACCTTCGCACACGTCCTCGACATTGATCTCGGTCCCGTCGTATCGCAAGAGACGAGTTCCCTTGGCAAGACACGCTTTTTCCCAGAACAGACCTTCCCAGGATGGGAAAGCTGTCGCCTTGAACAAGGTGTGCTCGAGAATTGTTTCAACACCACCCAATGCTTGGATAACATCAGTGCGGTAGGCATTGAGGTTCCAGAGCTTACCGTCATGTCGCTGGCTAGTCCACCAGAACGGATTGCTCTTCATCAGCTGGTATTGCTTGAACTCAGCGCGGAGTCGGAATCCCTTGTCGAAGCTGAGAGTGCTTCGATCCTTCTGGAAGAGCGTGTTAATACGGGGAAGACCACGATCCCAGCTGTCCTCTAAATCTTCCAACGTGAGACGGCGGTTCTGCTGCTGGGCTTCCATACGCTTCTGCGAGTATTCCATCCAAACACGCTGAGAGTCAATAAACTCGGCCTCCCAGGGAATGATGTATCGGAAGATATTCGGAATCAATGTTTCCTCGTCATGAGACATACCCGCTCGGAAGTGAGTGATACCAGTGTCAGTCTGCTTAGACCAGCGCTTATCACTGGTTGGGATGAGGATATGGGATCCTGAGATCATACCAAGACCTCCAAGCTCCTTAGGGGTGTAGAAGACCGCCGGGGGGAAACGAGACGGCATCTTAGAGTTCAGACCAATCTTGACTCGAGTCTGAATCTTCGTTTCACACTTCACGATAGTATCGAGAAGGTTGACAGTCGAGACAGCAGCCTCGCGGTAGTAAGTGAAAAGAGCAATTAGAGCAGTGTTCCACTTGTTGGCAATCTTGGTGAATGTGGTCGAACCAGAGGACATCAGGATTTGTCGGATACGGTTATTGAACTTTTGGACATCCTCTTCGGTGACCTGGAGGAAGGCATGTGCCGTCCGTTCCTTGGTAGAGTTATCAACCAGGGACCAGACACTGTCCTTGACTGAGAACTCCTCGTTCATATTCCGCATCTTGGGGAGAATACGGACTTCGAATCCATTCATCGAGAACAGCAAGTTAGGGTTGTCTTTACTGTACACGCTAGCGAATGTATCATCCCAGTCAATGGTGGTGATGGATCTTGGGAGGCGGTTCTTCATGTCCCAGAAAACAGCACGACCAAGGTTGACATCGTGACGCATCAAGCGCATGCGACAATCGCGAGGCCAGCACTTTTTATTCTTGTAGCCGATGACGTTCTCAAAGTTAGG